GTAATGCAGTTGTTGGATAATCGGTAGGGGAGTGGGTACAGTAGTGGGGCAGATGATGGTAGGAATCGAATTATTCCCATGAGGTCCCTGAATCTCTTACCTATTGCAAGCACAAGGAACAAAGTGCTGACGACGATCGACTGAAATGCAAGTCCAGTGGCAGAAACTAAGCCAACAGTAGTAATCCCTGCCAACAACGGTGTGACACCGCCGAGTATCGCCTCAAGCGGTTTTGATTCTCGCCTTTTGTACCTGAATTCAACAGTCACTACTTAGAAGTGGTAAATTTCACTGAGGGAAATCCAAAAGTAAAAGGATGATCTGAGGGTAAATGTATTTTAAGAAAAACGAGCACTGGTATCTGATCAAGGATAAAGAGAGACATCGCACTAAGGAAGTCGATGGCATTCTTAAATGAAAACTCCCGAGTGTTATTTTCTGAGACTTGCAGTGAGAGAGCTACCTAGGGTCTTCCTTACCCTATCCTTTAGAAATAACCTCGGTTATCTTTCCTGGAGCTAAGGGTCAATGGTGAGAGTCAGATAATCCTATTGTATGAGCAAGTAATTTTCTCACTAGCCTCGAATCCTGTTTTTCGGATGAAATCCTGCCCGTAGTTTACAGTTCTGGTTTACCTGGCGCGGTATAATATGCCATATCATTTGCTGACATGAACCCCCCCACCAATTCTCAGAAACCTATTTCATGAGGGACTCGAGGCCGAGGAATGACTTTTTGTGAATTACTTTTCCTCCGTTCTCATCATTTTGAATGCACAGTTTTTCAAAACTTTCTAATTTTCAGAACTTGAAATAATTTTTTCTTAACGAACCTGAATGAGCACAACATCAAAAAGATCATAAGCATTCCTAGAGAAATGCTAAGTAATGGGGCGCTCTTGTTTCCCATCTCTTTCACCTAAACGAAGAAAATTTAGGTTGAGTACAGCCCTTTGTCAAAGTGACTTCAATAGCTTCTAAGAAGCCTGTAGTTGGTGAATCTTCTTACAAACCTCTTTCGCCACAAGGTTATCTGAACCGGCGCTACAGTTCAGTAAATCATACTTGCCGGAGTCATACAGAAGACTGACTATCTGAAAAGGTATTAATTACTCAAACCGATACCTATTAGCTTTGCGGGGATTGAAAAGTCACCAATTTCGTCGAGTATCAGAGAAAACTGTAAATGAACCATATGTTTTATCTCAAGGAAAAAGTCGGATGTAAATAAATTTAGTTGATACCTTTAGTTTTTACTTTTTTCGATGATTATGATCTGATATAAGGTTTATCAGCAGGCATGCAGAAATACTGATTTTTGGACTTCACTGTTCAAGAAAACCACTGATTTGAGAGATGATCTGTGGCTAAGAGAAGTTTTTTTTCTTATTTTAAGTTTCGTTTTTGAGGTAGAAAATCTACTCAGCCTAGATTATTCCCAAGCGCCTAAGCATTAGGTGGCCTACAGATGATTAGGGAAAATCATTTGGCACCGAAATATTACTTGTAACATCTATTCTACAGCTCTTCTGTATTATTATTCTTTTTTGCCCGTACATACATTTATTATGAAAGAAGCATGAAAACTGCTTTTACAGGTCCATTTCATAGTGAATACAGGGTTTTTCATAGAAATTGATCTTTTCATCTTGATGAGGTGTAAACCGTTCAGACTACTTCATTCAGAATGCGCCATGTTTTCGATTTTTCTGAAAAACTCATAAATCAACTCGACTGTTATTCAGCACAACATTTTGCTGACTAATTTGCGTTTTGATGAAATAGGTTGACGATTCAGCGTTCGCTTGGCCGGGGAGGAGGGATCCATTGCTGATTCAGCTCTTCCTACTGCCTCCCTCCCTTGACCTTGTTTACAGCATGAGTAGACAATAAAGTGAGCAACAAAACTTAATGACAGCACCATGGCTGTAATAAAGGCAGAACATAGCTAAATAAATAAATAAACAGTAGAGCAAGCAATGTTATAGCATCATGAATAGAAAGTTACCTTACCTTTGTTTCCCAAGCGAGTAGGGGCTTAATTTCTGGATATACCATGTAGTAGCGAAGGATAACGGTGGTGAATGATTCGATGGTATTGCTATCGTTAACAAGGCTGACACCATAAATATTACTAGCGATGAAGATTTGCTTTCCAAGAATGTCCATAGTAGGATATGTGACCTGAAATATTATACAGAAACCTAAAATCAACACAACATTTAGTTAGAGCTGCTGAGGGAATTAGTTTAGAAGGACACATATAGCCATAGAATTTCTGCTAAGGTGATAGAAAGCCCTTTGCCACCTTTCTCATTGCCCCCTCGTTGTTATAAAAGGTTTTCCATGAACAGAGCCGAACAGCAAATAAATAAGTGATCCACGCGATAAGCAACCCGAGAAACAAAATTTAAATTCAAAGTACAGCTCAAAAATCAAGAAGAAAAATCTAATGAGCGTGAAAAAAAAAGAATTAGCCTGCCATCATGGACCCACAGCTTTTCGAGGTATCTCACTCCTTTTTGGAATCTCTCTAAACCAAAAAGTCTACATAGTATTCACATTGGTACGATTTTCCTTCTGCTCAATCCCGAGTAGGAGAAATAGGTGTAGGAATAGTTAGAGGAATAAGAAAGATGTAGGGAATACTTGGGCTAGTTTGCGCTCGTACAGCTTTTCTTGAGAGCCGCTATGATGTTGAGCTTACCTCAACTCTGGAAAAGTTCTTATTGTAGAGCTCCAAAAGAGCTATGAATGCATCGTTCTTTTGGCAATACGGTTCACACATGTCGCGATACGTCAGTTGATGCCCTGAGGAATTCTGGAAATTTCTATTCGAGAAAATCTATTGCGACCTTTTGTGATATATACTACTGTAATTCATAAGTGTATAGGTTCAGTCACATCGACATGGTAGATACAAACCTTTACTGTGATTTCGGTGTTAATTTCATGAATTAAATCCCAAATCTGATGCCTGTAGTTCTCTCGTAGCAGGCTACCATTATCTTTAGACTCAATCATTATCTAAATGCAAATGAATGTCGACTAAGTACTTGACTGAACCAAACTTATTTTCAAAGCATCTCTAAAATAAAATTAAAATTGAGCAAAAATAACTTGATCAGTTTGCTGAATTTATCTTCGAAGCAACTCCAAAACAAAATTAAAATAAACTAAAACTGTCTAAACTTAATTAAATAGAATTATAAAATTTTCAAAGATAGAATAAACTTGAATGTTATCGACATCTCTTCTATGTTATTTTTCCTTGCTTTTTTGTATCCATTTTTTTGAATTTGATGTCCTATTACCTTTCTTTCCGGCGGGAAGAACAGCTGTTTTATTGTTTAAGCTTTTATTTTTTTTTATTGTTTAGCTTCATATTAGTTGTTTTTCGTTGTGTTAGGAACGCTCTTAATGTTTACGTAATCCAGAATCAATCCATTTTGAGTGTATTATAACTGCTTTGTGAAATAACTCGGCATTTAGTGAGCTCCTCTCCAAATTCACACGTGGATCTTCTGATGTATTTGATATGTTGAGAAAAGATATATTTGAAGAAAAGGAGTGCATAACTAAAAAACAAAAATTTAAATTGCTGTACCTCGACCATGTTCAAAGTTCCGTTTTGCTGAAGAAAAGACTGCAATACTCGAGCCTCAACATGACTAGCCGACTCGGAATCAGTATATGTAATCCTTGCGTTATTTATCTGAACGAACTTTAGCATTTACTTTTTTCAAGTATATTAGTAATTGATAAAATTACTTTGAGTCTTTTCAAATAGATTCAGCATGCACTTCATAATTTATATTCATTTGTAATATTTGATGATAATTGATGATAAAATTATCTATCAACTTTTTGATTGTCCGTTAGTGCTAACAACGGATTGGTAAACTGATTCATTGTTTTTACTTAGAGTTATAATAAAATCGAATAGTGTGTGGGAGGGGGGGTGGGGAGGGGGACAAGCAGCTTTTCTTCCTCCAGCACAAATCGAGGTACTCGGCTATTCCATGAACGTACCAGTTAGGGGAGATAAAGGTATACATCCAGTACAAACGGTGAAGAAGGCATGAAGACTACTGGAATGTTGCTAACTGTGATCAATCGTTGATCGGAAAAAGGGAACCATGAAAAGCTATACAGATTTCGATTCTACTGTACAAGTCACTTTTTATTGCCTGGCACTATTAAAGTCTAAAGTATCAGTGAGCAAAAAATGTGTCGAAAATTCCGTTGGCTCCAGTCTCCCTAACCTGACAATCACCTGTCTGCTCAATTTCCCTCACATCACTTGTATGAAAGCTACTAAAATATTTGAAATAAATAGTTAACATTGATCAAACCTGATGGAATCTAATAAATCCTATAGAACAAACGGCTGTGAACAGTAACAAGCCGAGTATGTACCTCCATGGATGGTATCCAATTGAAAGGCCGAGTTTGTAGAAGACTCGCTAAAATGGCAAGTGAAATTTTAGTAGCTGCAATTTCATGGTAAATTTTGTGACAGTACAATGAATTCAAATCAGATGTCTGATGTCTTATGTGTCTTCTTGGGCTCCAAGTTAGCTAGGAAATGTGGATCGGTCAGTATGGGGAATATCCGCAGTGCGTGACAACTCGGCGTGGGTTTAAAGGGAAACTGGCCGGTCGCCTCGATACAAGTACCTCAGTTCTAGTTGTGCTTAGTTCTCTACAAGCCGTCATATGGTGGAGAAGGCGAATCGGGGAGGACTCGTCGATTTCACATCTAAGCATTGTCAAACTGATGCTTTTATGACCTGCGACTTCCATAGTCCAAACAAGATGTACCTTCAACCTTGAGGGTTTCAGGGAAGCGATCGAAATGGTGCTTTTTTATGCACCTTGGGGTAGAAGATTGGTTTAGCCTTGACAAAGCACGTTTATAATCTCCACACTTTTTCATCTCATCAACAAATAATTTGAAACAGTTTGCGTTGACTTTACTCCTATCCAGTCTGCAACTACAGTAAACAAGTCTTTTCATGATTACTGTAGAGTGATTTCATTTTTTCATGATTTCTCGAAATTTATTTCGAACACTGGAATAGGAAGCAGTTCCACAGCTGCCTCATACATTCACTTCACTACCTATTCCACTTAAACCCCTCGGCCGTAAGTGAAAGTTGTCCAAAGCCAGATAAAATCTTCTCCCGGAATTGAGATTTCTAAAGTGTGCTGCATACCCACCTAACGAACAGCCAAGGGCCAGGGGTACCCATGCAGCCTAGGGAAGGCTCTTTCCGTCAGGAAACTGGACTGTGGTCGGTATAGGCGTAGTCGTATAGTTCAAAATGGTCTGTTAAGGTGAAGATGCGGATGCGAACTAGCCAGCCAGACTAATGGATAAACACGGTACAATTAACACTTAGATGCAAGTTCCGGTCCCGTACAAACCGAAATGTTCCGCCCTCATTTCTGCGACGTGAGATGATTTCTCTATCGTGGACAACCACGAGAAGCCTACACGTTAGATACTAAAAAAAAGGAAAAAATTGAAGTAGATAAATTTTTTTCTGACCCACCTTCATGAAGTCTTCAATTTTTTGCGAAGAGCATTTCATTGTCACCAGTGCTGGAACTGAAAAAAGACATTTGAGGATGACTTTAGGAAAGCGGTGTTGTTTATAAACCGACAGCCTGTTGCGTAGGCATGAGTATTTAGAGAGTAGATGGAGCAGAATAAGACTGGCTGATAAAAGTGGTAAAGCAGTAGTATTGGGATAGGAATCCTTAACAATGCGCCATGTATTCTAGTCGCGGTCGCAGTTGTGGAGACGTTTGATTGGTTGCGTGAATAATTATTTAAGGTGTGGCAACGGTGACTAGTTTGAATCGGAGCTCAAGTCTAGCAGAAAGAAGAGCTAGAAAAAAATAGTAATTTTCTGAAGATCTGGAACTTTATTTGGGTTACTTTTCGGGAGAGCCAGTCGAGTAGTATGGGTAGTGCAACGTCAGAATGAATTGACTTCACCAAAAAGTGACCTGAATGAGTTCCAGTAGTGTCGATTAGAGAGATTGATTAATACAACACCTGAGGAACTTATCGAATTCGCTGAATGACGATGAAATTCCTACATTGGAATGAATGAAATGAAAAATGAAATGAAGCCACTTTAGCCAAACTGAACCTATAGTCACATCTTTGAATCTCTACTCAGCATTAGACAACAAAGATAAGGATAAAGGATAAAATTTTTGGCGTTAATCAATCCCTTCTGAGGGATGCGCCCCCGCACTCGA